TCTCCACGGGGAGATCGTTCCAAAGCGTCGGAGCTGCAACCAAGAAGGCTCTCCTCCGCGTAGTCGCCAGTCGGCACTGACTGGCGGATGGAATTATTGTAACCAGGATGTGTTTGCAGTTCTCTTAATAGTATTGAGAAGAAAAAACTTCTCATATTGGAAAGGGGGAAATCTTTAGTGGTCAGCAGGTATTGAGGCTATGATAAATCAGTTCATGTCTCACTTGTGACAGAGATTGGATTTTTCTGCTTTCAGGGAAGAGAAGTTAAATTCTTCTTACTTTTAACTGTTTGAAGTTGCCATATATTTTCTGCCACGCAATCGGGATTGTTAGATGGTGTTCAGCATAAAGACTTTCATATGTTTCATATAGTCCCTAAACGTATTGTAGACAGTGACATGCGATCTGTGCAATGTTTACCTCAGCTTATTTACATCATCAAAAATTAGGGAGAAAAGAGAGAGGTTGGTCAAAGGTGTAATAGGATGTACTTGGAACATTCTCATCTAGAGAGAATGTTGCAGAAATGCATACATTACAGAGGTGGGTTCCTACTGGTTTGGACCGGTTCAGCCGAACTGGTAGTAACTTGGCGGCCTGCCACACCCCTGAACTGGTTCTCCTACAGGTCCGCCATCTTGTTTTTCAGTTCTGTGCATGTGCAGAACAATTTTCAGTGTAAAAATTTATCTTTTTTTCCTTTTTAAAGGTTTTTTTAAGGCAAAACTTTTGAGGCACCGAACTGGCAGTAATGCCAGCAGAAACATACCCCTGATGCACTAGTGTACAGGTGTCAAACTCATGGTGTCACGTTGCTGTCACGTGACATATTGCGATGTTTTTCCCCTTCGCAGAACTGGGGTAGATGTGGCCTGCGTGTGACACATCCAGCCCTTGGGCTGCCAGTTTGACATCCCTGCATTAGTGGAAGATGGGAGGGCCACCTGAAGGCAATTCCAGCTAAGAACAGCTACCTTAGAGCTTGCTTCAGCTATGACATCATTTGTGTGTGAGTGAATAAAAGAAAGGAAAAAAACACCAAGACAGCTCTGTTTCAAGGCAAAGCTAGTGCCTTAAAGCTGTGGTTCTCCAAGGGGATCACAAGAAATTCAGGATTTCAGGAATAGAGACTTCGTAAGGTGTCTTGCAGACTGCATATGAAATGTAGGCTTACCGGATTCAGCATGTACATGATGGCTTTTCATTTTTGTCACATAATGTGTATAGGAGATTTATTTTCCCCTTGCTCTGTAGGAAAATCTGCGATCCTGGTCTTACCTCATTTGAGCCTGAAGCTTTGGGAAATCTTGTAGAAGGGATGGATTTCCACCGGTTTTACTTTGAAAACGGTATGCTGTTACCTGATGTTTATGACTTTTGAGCCAAACCTTTTAGATTATTGTTACAAAGTTCATATACAGGTAGTCCTAGGCTTACGAACACAATTGAACCCAAAATTTATGCTGCTAAGCAAGACATTTGTTAAGTGACTTGCCCCCCTCCCCATTTTATAACCTTTTTTGCAAGTGAATCCCTGCAATTTTTAAGTTAGTAACACAGTTGTTAAGTGAATCTAGTTTACCCATTGACTTTGCTTGTCAGAAGGTCACAAACACGATCACGTGACCCAAGGACACTGCAACCGTCATAAGTATGAGTCAGTTGCCAAGTATTTTAACTTTGATTGTGTGACCATGGAGATGCTGCAACGTTCATAAGTGTGAAAAATAGTCATGTCACTTTTTTCAGTGCTGATGTAACTTTGAGTGGTCACTAAATGAACTGTTGTAAGTTGAGGACTATGTACATAGATAATCATATCTACAGCTCCATTTATTCCAGCACTGTGTTTTCACAGTGGCTGACAAACTGCATAATCTCCCAGCAGACGGCCTTCACATTGCCATAAAAGCTAATACCGATTGATCCTTACGACTTCCGTGAATTGGTCCAGCCCATTTTTAAAGCCAGCAAATTCAAATAATTTAAGGCATTCACTTATATTGGGAGGCAATATTTATTTGATCAAGAGCCACAATTAGTTTCCCCAACCAGCTGGAGGATCGCAGGTAACATCACTTGAAGAGAAATCATATCACCAGAAAAAAATAAATATTTTCCTTTTGGTGGTTCAGAACAGAAGCAGAGGTCTACAGACTCCTTTCTGCTCAGGAAATTGAATTATAATGTGAACAAACAAGCTCTTATCAACTAATAAAACAGAATAGAATAACAGAGTTGGAAGGGACCTTGGAGGTCTGCTAGTCCAACCCCCTGCTTAGGCAGGAAACCCTANTGCTTCCGGTTGGCAGAGGAATAAAGGACGCTGTGGTAGGAGGAGACTCTATGGTGGGGGAACCAGACTTCCGGTTGTCTTCGGAATTGAATGGGGTGCTTCCAGTTAGGACCTTTGTGGCTCTTTGAGTGTTTAAGGTTGCCAACCCCTGATCTAGAGTACAAATTATTAGCTTTTTGGCTCCCGCAAAATTTTGCTGTTGAATTTGGACAAAAGAACACGGAGCAGACTTTTTCCATGCCAATGGAGAAGTAGGATTTACATGTTTGGGAAAGGGTAATTATTTATTTACCTGTGGCCAGGTGCCAGTTATTCTAATGTAACTGTTACAGTTGAAGAGATACTCATATCCATTAGTACATTTGAATAAAAGCTATACAGTAACTTTATTGGTTTTCATTTTAGGGAATGAAGTGTTTGCGTTTTCACTGAGCATGCATTGAACCTCAGGAGGATCTTTGCTTCCTAGGAAATTGAAGAGAGAATCAGCTGTCTTAATATTCTTGCCAGTTCATTACTGAATAAATTGCTTGAAGCTCCAGAAATGTGAAAGCCAGATCACTGTACAGAGAATTGTTCATGCTGTTTAAAAGCAACATAAAAATGTTCACATGTGTTCAAAAGAGTCCCTGGCTTCTTTTTTGTAGTAAGCAATGTCAGAATAATCTGTTTTTCAAAGTTAAATGTTTCTTATGAGTTTTTTTTCTGCATGTATTCAAAGATTGTTTATCAGTAATCAAGTTAGAGTCTTAATGCAACCAAGCTTAAGTCAATTTTCAACCAAACATATGGTATGAAAATAGCCCATCATATTCATCTACAATTGTCCAACATTAGTTTATTTTCCACAGCAATTTAACGAATGTTATACTGCAGATGGGTGACCTAGATTGCAACTCTTATGGACTTCATATATGATAAAAAAGAGCTTGTATGCTAGTAAATTTACTGCGCAATTTCAATTTCATGAATATGCGATGCTTGCATATAGAGATGCTTTTATGTCTCCAGTTGAAATATACCATTCCTTAACATAGTCTTACCTTATCATTTGAGAAGTCTATTTCTATTGCCATGTCGTATAAACATCAAGAGAGAACATCAAGAAAGAATTAAGCTAATTCTTAAAAATTAATGATAAGATCGAATGAGCAAATTCCTAGGAATGTTCTTTTTGAGTCTTAACTGAATATTATACACGTAATATTATACAGTCTTAAACTTCAATCACAATTGAGCCCAACAATTATGTTGTTAAACAGGACAGTTGTCAAATGAATTTTGCTCCAGTTGGCAAACTGTTTGGCCTTAGTTTTTAAGTCAATCACTGAAGTTGTTAAGTTAGTAACACAGTTGTTAAGTGAATCTGGCTTATCTTTGCTTGTCAGAAGATCTCAAAAGGTCACATGACCCCAAGATTTTAATTTACAACCAGGTCAATGTCTGTGATAATTAGTTACCATCATATGCATACAAATATGCAGATCATTCCTACCTGTGATTCACAAGAAAAATTGAAATACCAAAGAAAAGAATATATCTGGCTCAGAGCTGAACTGTGGAGTCCAGTTTGGAGTCCAGCTTAGTTGTTTGCTTGGAAATTGTGGCTGGTGACGTTACCTAGTCAGTTAATGAAACATCTACAAGTAAACAACAAACAGATAGGAGAGCTGTCCAGAGGGCCAACGTCATTACCCAGAGGATAATTAATTGTCCTTTCCTCTCTTTGGAAGAGCTTTAGAGCTCCCGCTGCCTTAAGAAAATTCAAAACATTCTTAAATATCCATCTCATCCTGCGCACCCTTTTTTTTTTGAACTGTTACCATCTGGCAGACGGTACAGGATAATAAAAATAAGGACAAATAGGCTGAAAAACGGTGTCTATCCCAGGGCAGTAACCATACTGAGTTCTACTGTATAGTGCAATATTAATGCTATTGTATAGAATGTGAAGGATGTATGTTTGTGTTTTATTTTTATAATTATAATGTACACTGAAGATGGTATTTAATTTTGTTGTACGAGGTGCATTGACAATAAACTAAACTAACCAAACAAGGACTCTACAAAACTGAATTAGTTGTACAGACTGAATACAGGTAGTCCTCGACTTACAACAGTTCGTAGTGACCGTTCAAAGTTACAATGGCACTGAAAAAGGGACTTATGACCATTTTTCACAGTTACTACCTTTTCAGCATCACCCATGATCATGTGATCAAAATTCAGATGCTTGGCAACAGGTTCATATTTGTGACTGTCACTGTGTCCCAAGATCATCCGATCCCCTTTTGCGACCTACTAACAAGCAAAGTCAATGGAGAAGCCAGATTCAGTTAACAATTGGGGGACTAACTTAACAACTGCAATGATTCCATTAAAAACAAGCAAGAAAAGTCATAAAATAGGGCAAAATTCACTTAACAAATTTCTCACTTAAACAACAGCAATGGGCTCAATTCTGCTCATAAGTCGAGAGCTACCTATATAACAAGGTGATGTAGCAGGTTTGTGAAAGAAAGAAAAATGCCAAGATGAGTTTTCCCCCTCTATGATTTTGTGTCCCTTGGGATTTCAAGAATGGAGAAGATCACACCTGTGCTGCAGAGAGATGAAGAGAAAATTTGAAGGCATAGAGAGTGGGTGTGGGTGTGGATGGAAGAGAGGAAGGCCATTGACTTGGAGAACTGAAAGAGAAGCAAGTTGTGCACGGAGCAGCTGAAACTGAACATAAACCGTATGGTGGAATGAGCAATGAGGGCCAGTGACTTGAGAAGTACCAGGGTCTAACAGCCTCACAAGCATTCTAAGATATATACCAGCTATCACCCAAAAAAAGTATTACCTGATAAGATCTCATAAGCAACTTAGAAGAATGCAACCGCAACCTGCAACAGGATCTACTGAAATATGGGAGCTAGAAAGTGAGAAAATACATGGACAAGGAATATGATTCTCAGTCCTTAAAGGGAAGAACTAGAGAAAGAACTATGTTGTGGCAATTGAAAAAGAGGGGGGAGGAAATGTGCAAATATACCCCCAAAATAGGGTGCGGCTGATATACAAATAATGCACACTATTAATTATACTTAAGTATATACAGTCAGAGGTGGGTTCCTACCAGTTTGGACCGGTTCAGCTGAACCAGTAGTAACTTGACGTCCTGGGTTGCTGGAACCGCAGCGACCCAGGCCTGCCACGCCGCCGAACCGGTTTTCCTATGGCGGCGTCCTCTTGATTTTCGGTTCTGGGCATGCGCAGAACAATTTTCATTGCAGAAATGTAATGTTTTTTCCCCTTTTTTAACATTTTACGCATGCAGATCTTTTTAGGTGCAAATGCGCACGCGTGTGGAGCAAAAGGTTTTTTTGCCCCGAACTGGCAGTAATGCCAGCAGCAACGCACCCCTGTATACAGTAGGTTTTCCCCTCAGCTTTTTAAAAATATATACCAGACATACTCACAGAAAGCCTGTCTGCGGATAAGCTAAACCTCACAATTTTAGCTAGTGGTACCCATAAATAAGACAAA